AAAAAAAAAAAAAAAAAAGTTTGTTTGTTAGCATAATAGGCTAAATAAAATTAATATAATTGAGGAAGATATGGCTTTATGGCTTCAATTCTCAGCTGACCCACAAAATGCCCAATAAATATATATGCAAGATTTTTTTCATCACTGATGTTTCAGTTTGTTTCATACCTAAATGAGTGATTAGATGCTTCAGAAGGCAAAAGAGGCCATTTCAGAGTCACTGTAAGAACACTCTATGCAGAGATGCCTCTGACACTCCTCTTTCAGCAAGGGCTGTGCCAAAATTTCATCGTGAGCATGAGGTTTCAATTTTTCTTTTACTGAATTGCCCTATAAAACATCAAATAACAGTCAATGCCTCGGTATCATGGGAATATCACTTCTGGTTTTTACCAATACTACGTTTCATTCAATTTTCATTAAAGCAGAAAAGTTCTAATATACTGTTGCAAAGCAACCTCAGTAATCACTTCCCCACTACAGGGGTCTCTGTTTTATGGCTATATGAGAGGGTTATTGTGACAAAGTAGCCTACATCTGGGTTACATTTATGTTTAGTTTCAGAGAGTCTTCACCTGGTCTTATAACTTTGTTGTCTTAGAAGCATGTTTTTAATGTGTGTGTTTTCATTACAACAGTTACAATCATATGATCAGTTGTCACCTCTTTAACATACTTTTTTACTATAGGAAGACCTGCTACTTTATTCATAAGCATGACTCTATACTCATACTTCATAAGTATGACTTTATACCATTAGCACAGTTGTCTTGATGCTATCATACAAGCTTGAATTGTGCCAGGTTTGTTTCAGGGAAACAAGGAAATGTTGATCATCTAAGAATACAAGATTCTCTTTCGTGATGATTCTCATGGGCAAGAAATGTCAGAGTGACATCTCTCTGTATCACTGCACAGGAAAACTTTTCAACAAGAGTGAATGAAATATGTCTCTATTGTCCCAGTGTTCCCCAGCTCCACAGAGCTGAACCATATGAACCAAAGAGAAAACACTGACTTACAGTGTTGCTTTACAAAAACCATCAGAGGAAATTCTCATTCTCAGTCAGACATTAATATTGCCTCCCAGAAGTGAGCCAGAGGACTTTCAAACACAAAACTTACTTCATCATTTTCGATTATTTTCATTATTGGGGCAGTGCTAGTGTTTGTTATCTGCTTGTCCATCTGTGCTCTTCCTTTATCCACACTCTTCCCCGATGTTTTTAATGTCAAACAGTAGTAAATAAGTAAAATAAATATTCTTAAAGTTTTTTTTTTTTTTAATTTTTATTTTCCCCTTCTGTGATTATTTTCCCCTTTCCATGAGCTTTCAAAAACATCAATGAAATGAGAGCAGTTAACCTTACTTTTGTGCTTAGGTGCCTGCCATCAGCACTGCTCAAAAAAATTTCTGCAGACCAACAGAAAGTAGTTCTTATTTCAGGGCTGCAGTGTTCAATGTGACACAGCCATGTTTTATTGTTCAAATTTGCTGCACTCTGGTGTCAGCACTTACAGAAACAGTTAACCCTGACACCAATACTCATAAACGTAGAAGGCAAAGGGAAAAGTGTGCCACAGCAGACTGATAAGTGGTAGGAATAGTTAATGGAGCTTTCCTCACAGTAATTCTGTGGACTGTAAAATATATCACTGCATGGAGCATTTACTGAAGGTACTTCTGTTTATTAAAATATTTGTATAGAATCAGAAGTTTTCATTACCATGCTACCAAAAGGATTCTGTCAAGAGATCTTAAAAGGAACTGAATTGTTTGAGCTTTTCTGTCACTTGAAATAGTACTGTAATCAAGTCAATTGAATTACTCTTAGACTACTTCATATGCTTTTGCTTGATTGCTCTCACATTCATTGGGTATTAAAGCATCATTTTCTGAAGAACAGAACTCTAGTTATGTGTTAGTTGCATACTTAGTTTGCATGCCAGTCTAAGAAGGATTGTTAAAAGATAACAGGATTAATTTTTTATTTCAAATTTGTGATATTTTTTTTTACTTGTTACAGATTAATATCAGGGATCTTGGGCAGCTATATAAAATCCGCATTGGCCATGACAACACTGGTAATGATCCCAGCTGGTACCTGGAGGAAATCAGACTTGAAAGAATGTCTCCTTTTTCTCAAGAAGAGATTTGTCTGCCCATAGAGTGCTGGCTTGCAGAAGACAAGGGTGAAGGTGATACATGGAGAGAAGTGGCAATAAGAAACTCTACAAAGGAAATTTTGCCATGTACGTGCTCAGTATGTTAGATTACGTGTTCACTGTCCTCATTCTGTGAGTACATGACAGCTTTTCATATTTCTTCCAGGAAACATTGTTGAAAAGTTAACATAATCACGAAACAGACCTTTCCATTACAAGATGCTTTCTAGTTTGAAAGAAGTGGAAAGCGATCACCCTGCCCCACTCCTTCCCTTCTCACCATCAGAATATAGCTATGGCCAGGGTATTTTACTCCTCTTAGCATTCTTGGTGTGTTAAAGTGCTCCTAAATCACTGACAAATGCTTCTCTTCAGAGTAACTAGCCTATTTACATCTGGCAGGAAATTAAGTTGTACCAAGGTTTATAATATCATCTAGTATCACGGTCTTTTTAGTAAGCTCAGTATCATCTTTTCTTGTATTGCAAAATATATTCTTTACCAGGAATCAGTGATCTGAATCACCATATGCACATTTTCAAATCAAACTCAAGTCTCAGCCATTAACATAGAAATGATTGACTACAGAGTGGCACTTCTGTGACCTGAAAGTTTATCCACAACTTCATTGCACTCCGCTCTCTTCAAGCGAAGCAGTAAATAGCCCATCATATAAAGTTATTATTCAAATAGTCCTAGGATTCTATAGAGAAATAAGGAGCTAGTGTAATCATGCAGCATAATGTTTTGTTTTGTTTTTATGGAATGCTTTTGAAATTAACAGAATGACAATGATACAGCCAGTAGAAAATACTGTCCAACAGTGGCAAGCCTTGAAGAGATAGGTGCTATCATTTAGGCAAACTGTTTTTGAAATTAAATAGTGACCATTGCAAGGATTCAGTGGCTCAGCATAAAAATGGATCATCATGTAGTTCATGAGGTAAGATCATTTCAGATGAAAATATCTAACAAGTGAAAAGTCTTTAGAGAATATAATTCTCTGATTAAGCAGTAAGGCTGGTGATGTTTGAATATTTTCATGGGTTTTGAGGTCAAAGAAGGCTACTGATCTTTGTTAAAGATGCCAGAAGATACTGAGATACACATTACCAGCTCACCTTTCCCTTCTGCTCTTCTTTTTTCTATTCTACAGAATATTTATTGACTTTAATAGGAAATTTGTGGAACCAAGAGTGACAGGATGAGCAGGGCCCTATGGTGTGTAAACCACAATATATGCAGTTAATTACAGCAACATAAAAGTCTATGAAGCTCCAGCAGAAAAATAATGGAAAAGTCATGTTATATAAACCATTAGTTCAACATGATGAAAGGTGAAAAGTCAGGTCACTGCTGTTAAAGCCTAGGAATATTTTTAAAACAGCAAATTTATTTAGTCTTTCTAAACATTCACTTACTGCTTCTTTCATTGCTTTAGCAAAAATGTTAACTTCATTAAAATATTTGTCTCAAGATTGTATGCAAAGATGTATTAGAAAGGATTTAGAAATTTCCTGAAATTGTAAGGTTTACAAACTACTTATTGATTTCAGGCACATTTAAATTGAGTATCAGTGTAAACTCAGCATGGCCTCCCAAGGATTTCCTATTTAGTTTCTAGAGAACAAGCAAATGAAATGCTATCCATCTGCATTTCCTATTTGAAAGCTAATTGCCTACAAGTACTGAGCAAACCACATCAAGTGTATGGGAACTACTGAGTCACGGCCTGAACCTCTGATTGACCACCTGAGGTGAGCCATGAGTCAGCCAGAAGAGCACAGCTGAAGGCAATTCACCTGTGCTGCTGGAAGGGGTGGAGCCAGGCTGCACCCCTCCTAGACCTATTTTAGAGCTGGCTACCAGGGGGGAAGGATCTCGTCTGGAGATCCCTCCTTCTGGTGTTTTGTGGTGAGCCCAGCATAAGGGTAAGCCTTCCATTTATTCTCTCTTGTTATCGTAGTCTACTTCGCCTAACTCTCTTGTTTATTTGTGATTGTAACATCTTGATATCTATTGATTATACATCAAGTCATTTTCTCTAGCAGAACAAATGATGTACTACTTATTGTTTAATGATAATCTGATATGATTTAGTAATTTATGTCCCGTATTTTCAAATCAATTTAGTATCTTCTAGTAGTAATACATTTACTTAACTATGAAAATCTTGTGCTAAAAATTTTAAAGTTATAAATATAAGATAAATTAATATAAATTTAGCTCAGCTTTTTTTTTCTTCTAATTTTACTGTTTAACTTGTTATTACTCAACTTATTCCTTAGAAGAAAGTGTAATTTTTCCCTTATCCATCTTTTTTTTTTTTTTTTTTTTTTTTTTTTTGGTCCACTTCAACCAACCAAACTCTACTACCTACCTTACAAAGTCCTAAAACTATGGAGCTGATTTTTGATTTATTGTTTTTGTGCTTTTATTTTGTTTGTTTGTTCGTTTGTTTTTTCCCTAGCTTTTTTTCTTCAATTGATTTACTTCCAGATTCTGAGACCTTTTATTTAACTGACCGGAGCATGTTGTTGAACTAGGTGATCCTTGGAAGTCTACTCCATCATAATTCTTTTGATTATTTCTCCACCTAGTCTCACTTTTTCTAGCAGTTCCAGACATTGGTTTTTGGTTTACCAAACTAAGCAAAAATTGCTCAACAGTTTTCCAAGTTATGGGCATTGGAATTTGGTCATTATGTTCAGAACTTGGTAAACACTTAAATGTCACTCTATGAAAATAAGTTGAAAGGTTTATATTGGATACTTTTGGCTTAGCTTTATAGCATCATGGCAACATAGCAGTGTTAGGGGAATCCCTGCATCCCGTATTTTGCCCCACACCCACCAGTCTCATCTTTTTCGCCCAGAAAGATGCTCTGACTCATGGTCATGGGTTTCACACCTGGACACTGGGGCTGAGGCTGTCCTGGGACAGCCCTGAGAGGGGATCAGGCAAGGTGTCAATACGTCTGAGTCCTTAATATGAGTTCCCATCTGCACTTGTACCCCTATGCTTGTGCAGATGGGCTGATGGCTTTTGTGATAGGCCTGGGAGAAGCCAGAGTAGGGTGCTATTTGGGATCCAGCTGCCTGCACTCCTGTGTGTGTGCAGATGGCCCTTACATCCAACCTAACATGGAGAATTGATTGTCTTCAGATAGGGCTGAACTTTTGAAGTTAGGGGATGCGTGATACAAGACATTTTGATTTTTCTTACTGTTTATGTGGCTATAAACTTTAAATGGGAATCTGCGTAGCTGATGGAATACTGTACTGATTTGAAAGAGAAAACAAGTATTGAGGCTTAGGCAGGAAAAATTCCAGCTTAGAAGATTTAGACTTATTTTCCACTAAGGAAAATATGCACGCAAATACAGAAAGAGGTTAGGATGTGCTGACTGCCTGAAATGGTGCAAAAGATGACCGAAGCAAATAGTAATGACTTGAGCGTTATCTCTACTAAATTTTTATCCATGTTTGATGATTCAGGAGGCACTGACTACTTATGTAAATAGCTAGGGTTCTCTTTCCTATTGTAAAACTGATTCGTAAATGTGCTTTTTTTGAAGTTGAAATGCTCTGAAGAATATTATCTTCTCTGTGCTCCTCAAGATGAAGATTGCTGGGGCTGTGAAATCCTGACAATAGTTCAGAAATTTTTTTCTGTTAAGTTCTTTTATCTGCATCACGCAGCTTGCTAGTTCTCTTTTTCTTCTTTCTTTTTCTTCTTTCTTCTGAGTCAGCTGATCTTCTAGTGGTGGAAGCAAAATCCGGTGGTGGAAGAAAGATCTGATCATTGGTCTACTTGGGTAGTTTGAGAATCTATGTCTGAAATATGGCTGTATATCTGTGGCTATTATTTGAGACTGTGGCACTTCAGTATTACAGCTGACAGCTCACTGCAGACATTATCCCATGTGTGTCAACCCACTCTAGGGATGTGCTGTAAATGTTGTGCAAAAGCCTAGGACTGTGGCTGGGAGTGAGGCCAGAGATTCCAAACACCTTTTCCCCTTCTTCCTCCTGCTCAAAAGCAAGCAAAAGGAAAACACCACTGGCATATTTTCTCATCCCCAAAACTTGAGAATAGCTTACGTTCAAACAAAAAATTTCAATCTGCATTTCTCCTCCATTGCCATGAGGCAGCTTCTGAAAAGCCCCCTCATGGTTCTTACCGCTACAATGAATAGACAACAGCAGAACCTTTCCCTACATATATCTTATGTTTATATACCTGAGTACTGAGGCTGAACATGGAAAGACCTTATTCACATGCAAGAATCTAGCTTGAATTTCCAGTGCTAGATCCTTAGAATAATAACATCTATTAAATCACTCAAAATTTTCCATATGTGGTTTTTACAATATTGCTCTAAATACCAGGAGTAAATGAAAGCAGATATTAGAAACTCAGATTCTGTAATTGTAATTGAAATGTCTTCAGTTGATGGGGTTTTTGTATTTATAACTCCTCAAAAAGTCTATGCTTCGCTTCTGGGGAAGACAGTACCTCTCAAACACTATCAGCCATTAAGAATTTGTACTGTTTTAAACTTAATGCTGCGCCAATCCACGTTTTACCCTCCTGTCATGGCAAAATGCCAAATATTATTTCTGCAGATCAGGTGGCAAGTACTAAATGATAAAATTCTATGACAGAGCTTCAGTCTTTCTGTTTAATGAATCAAAGTAAAATGATAATTTAATTAAAGCAGGAATATCATAGAGAAGCAAAGAGCCCAGGCTGTTACCCTGTTGCATTGTCCTGACATATTGGATCACCATTCTTAGATGAGGACTGGATAGCAACAGTCCAACAATTTTAACGTTGTATAGCAATTACTGTCTCTCTGTGTTTTGTGCTCTTTGGCCAGTTTGTCTGTTTGTACTGGCAGACTGACAGGAGTGGATTTGTGCAGTGAAGCAGTACGTGTTAAAAACTCAGTGAGCTAAGAAACCAGAGGCCTCATCATGTGCTCTAAATGGGAAGTAAGTCTGGGCTCGTTCTGATTGCCAATTGGACATATTGCCAATTTCTGGCAAGATCACCTTCATTGTTTTCCTGGAATGTATCCTCTG